ACGTTATCAACATCCGGGTATATTCTTACCAAATATGACTCTTTTGAAACAAGATTTCATGGCGCTTGCATTTGTCACCTCCCCCCTTTTGCTGACAGTGCCTATGGAGAATCTAAGCAGGAAACGGCTCCAAGGTATTTGAGCACCTCCAGTGCCAGATGCACATCGCATCACTTTGTTTGCTAGAGCTCATTACGATAATTTTTTAAGAGTTGTGCATTAGAAACATACTTTGACATTTATGCAGTAGCGTATAACTAGTACCCGTTCCTAAAACATCATGGAGGTATGAGTATGGGCCCGAAATACTATACAGCTGCGGCCTGCTTCACGTTTCATTCAGAGGGACCTAGATGCAAAGGACTAGGCAATATGCACTGAAATTCGTTCCTAAATTTGTTCTTCTTCGGTTATGAGTCATCTAAAACACGTGACTTCGTTGGTACTCTAGGCGGCAGTAAAAATGCCATTCACCGGCGTAGGTATGAAATAGGCAGAAAAGCAGCAGCGCATATAGCATTACTCGAATAAAACTACTCGCAAGGCACGATCGTTCAAACAGGTAGTCTCTCAGTCAAAACTAACGAGCTAATCCAAAATGAGGCGATATCCTATTGCTTGAATTATTCAGGGTGTAGATCTTGACCAAGATTCAAGTTGCTTGCGTCCTCAGTGCCACTTCTCTCCATACATGGAACAGGTGTTGCTGCCCATTTCTACGGTTGAATGCTCGAAATTAAATTCTCCTCCTCTTCTGCCTGATACTTTGCTGAAAAATATGCTACCTAAAGAATGGAAAAAAACTGTAGAACAATCTGAATTCCCATCTCTTTGTGATTTTATAACTGGGTGCCACTTCGTTTACTCTTATGATGCCGAGTTAACTTTCGTTTCCGTTCCTAAAACCATGAATGCACTATTATTTGGTCCTTTTGTAACGCTAGACCTAGAACTGTTTGAATCCATTAGTACGTAGTCGGCTATTTCTTTCTCTGGCATTTGTAGGCTCATTTGCAAACCTCAGAGGGAAGAGAGGCGTCAACTGAAGAGGGCTTGATCAGAGGAACTGTAAGTCATGAGACAGAGCTTTATCTACTCAACAATTACAGTTCTTCGGGAAAATACATGCAACAGTTGTTGCTGTAATTCCAGTTGCAGATTTATGAAACAGTTCTTATGTCATCTGGCTGCAAACGTATGAATGACAAAACGGGCTTGCGAAACTAATCCATTCTGGGAGCTTGAAGAAGGCCCATGAGATACGGCGTGATCATCAGTGTTGGTGATCATCCATTTGACCAGATCATTTGTGCCATTTATAAATGAATCTTGCTTTGTGCAGTTTTTGATATTACCATGAAGGCATGCAACAATTACTAAATTTTGGAACAAATCTTTCAACTTTAAATTAAATTTGATTGCCATATAATTCTACGGTGAAAATCACTAAATTGGTTATCACGAAATTATTTCATATTATTATTCATTATAAATCGAAGTCAAAGCCTAAAGTCGTCAGTAAACACAACCTGAGCCGGGTCAGTGTGAGCCCGGTTAATCTCAGACGACGGTGGCAACAACTTATCGCTAGGAAAATTAAAAGTCAAAGAAATATCATTCATCCGGAATGAATATTTTAGTTGGATACACTTTGTCAATTTAGGAGTGCATATGCTTCCGGTCTGCCACTGATAAGAACTAACCAATATTTTCGTTGTTGACTTACCCATGACGCATTTCCTTCCGGGAAGTTGATTGGCCATCAGATCTTTGTAGCCGGCTTTGCAGCGGCAGATATACCCGGTGTCGGTGTCGGTGCAATCGGCATTTTTAGAACAATCGTCCAGATGTGATTCGCATTCATTGATCTCTGAAACGAACCGTCAGATTAAAGCGTACTCCACCTGGTGATACAGTGAGGCGAAACGTACTTGGCTGACAGATCTGCCCTGGCGCTTGCTGTACGTTTGGCGACATGTCCAAGAATCCCTCCCTGCAGGCACAGATGTAGCCGCCCATCGCCGTCGGATAGCAGTCGGCGTCCGGAGAGCAGGTTCGGTTGCTCTCTTCGCATGGGTTTATACCTGAAAATGCGTTGTGCAATATCTGTGGTGCACTTGCCAAACCGAATGCCTGTCTACAGGCGACCGACTTACGTTTTTGTACACACACTCTGCCAGGCAGGTTGACCGGGTCTTCGCTTCGGTCGATGTAGTTTTCCCAGCAGGTGCACAGAAACCCGTCGAAGGTGTCAGTGCACGTGGCGAATTGGGAGCAGTTGTGGATTTGGTACGCACATTCGTCGATGGCTAGGAGATGCGAAAATATAATTCTGCAATGCCAAACATATGGTTCCAAAAACTAATAAACCCTCAGCATCAACGTCGCGAGCACACATCCCGTTCTTGACCGAAATTAATTAGTTGCCCAGGAATGGAAAAATTAATTATTTATGACTTGCCACCTTTCAGTCATCTGAAAGTGTAACTGTACAGAACCAATATTAACATGCAGAGCAAAAAATTAACGAGAGTGTCACTTTACTGTCTCTTTACCATTTGCACAATAGCCCAGTGAATTAAATTCCTTTATCGGGGGAATCATTACTTCATAACAAAATTTTGCTAGCTGCCTCACAACCGAAGCGATGTTCTGGTTCGACCGTATGCAAGCGCCATTCAAACACTAATACATTGGTTTAAGTAAGTACAACGAAAAGTACCGTTTGAATGTAATCCTCTTTAACTGTGAAATCATGGAAAGTGAGAACAGTAGTTTTTCACTACATATCACTTACTACATATCACTTACTACACATCATGGAAAGTGAGAACAGTAGTTTTTCACTACACATCACTTACTACATATCTGAGTGACGGGATCGCGAACAAAGTTCTTTGGACATTGACATTTCAGGTTTCCTTTGTTTTTTACATCCGGCAGGCATTTTTCCTTTTTCCTTTGATCGCATGCGGGCTTGCAGAAGCTGCCGGCCAGTTCTGAATATCAATCACGTCTTGCATAAAGCTCTGTACTATTCGCTCCTTGCAGTCTTACCGCATCTGTTGGTTTCAGGGTTCTCTTCGAAACCTTTGTCACATGTACGACCGGTTGAGAACGGCACTATAATTTGCACATGTCTGAAAGTGAGCAAACAAAGAATAATTTGAATTGGTTACCACACGTCCTTGCTTCTATGTGGCAATAGTGATCAGCGGGACAGGCGCATCGGTGGTCGCCATAAATCGTCCTCTGGCACATATATGGAAACGGACAAGATGTCGGCAAATCAGGGTTGCATAGAGGGGTTCCTTAAAATGGGTTGTCATTGAAGGTCATAGAACCGTTGCACTCACTGATCCAAGAAATCACCGTGTCATTGAATAATTGTCAATTTTTACTCGACATTGGGTATAAAAGGTAAGAGTACTGTGCGAACTACACAGACACCTGTTGACTAAAGCAAAGCTACCTCTGAAGACTAAACTCTGTCTTCAAATCGATCTTCACTCCCATGCTCACCCATGGGCCATGACTGAAAATCTTCATTCTCGGGTTCAAGCAGTTAAAACGGATTTCTGACTCGAATCATTGGACTCATGCGTCTCGATATGAGCAAGAGTTCAGGTGTCTGAGCGAGGCTTATTGTCCGACCATTACTTGTCTAGATTGAGAAATCACAGCCGCGATGGCCTGGGTACGTTTTGCGAATAATTCTCCTAAGACGGAAACTGAAACAGCTGCTACTTGCTAAGCCGACCGGCGCAAAACCCTTGGAATAGTCAATATTCATATGCTAGAAGCAAATGAATAAAAGAACTCTGATTCATGCTAGAATCATCGTCTGCCAACTCTCAAACACTGCTCAGCGCTGAACCGACCGACCGACCGACTGAGTTACTGTGGACAGAAAAACAAAAACGATATTTAGAAGAAGTGAAGCAATTTAATACATTAAATGATTCATCTAATTCAAGCGGTTAATTATACGATTTAATTGCTAGCAAAATAGAACTGGAAAACATTATTTAAATGACAGAATTTGAATTTCTTCAAGCCTCTATACTTATTTCTGACCTTCCAATTGATAGAAAGGATAAGTATGATAGATTGTAACGTTTAATGATGCAACATATGCAGTACACATATACAACATCGTATCAAGATTTGGACCATTAGCAATAAGGGGAACATAGTTTTGAAGGATCTCAAATATTTCTATCGCAATCAACTTCTTTATAGGTCTATCTAATTATCTCTCCGTCTACTACTTGTATACCCATCTTTCAATCTATCTCTTTACTTTCGCTCAGTCCATCTATTTATTCATTAATATATGCATCTCTTTATATACCTACTAATTTGTCCATCCATCTGTCTATCCATCCGTTGATATATCGATCTGTCAATTTGTCAGACAATTAACTAACCACCTATCAATCAGTCAGTCAGTCAGTCCATCCTTCTGTCTATCAATCTACTTATCTATCGATCTATGCATACATCTATCGCCCTATCGATTCATTTCTTTGTCTGTCTGTCAATCTATGTATCTATCAATCCATTTATCAGTGTAGCTATTGATACAAAACGAATGCACGTATAAATAGCCTTTTCATCAATGTGTACATATTGTTTGCTGTCAGCCTACCACATTCTCCGGTGATGTTGTCGAAGCAAAATCCTGGACCACAACCACAGGCGCCATTAATGCACACCTCGTTCCTCGATCGATCACAGGGATTTTCTTGGTCTGTCTGGCTAGTGCTGCAAGTCAAAACCTTTTCCTTCGGAGGGGCCTCCTCTAGAAGCAGACCTGCCATTAAGAACCTCGACGAGGGTACGAGTTGCATCGTATGTTACCCTTGCATATCTCTTTTTGGATCAGCGCCCGTAGCCTGGTGTTAAGGTCAGCAAACCTCCCGACCACCACGTAACGGTCTTTGCTACCAGCGATCTGTTCCAACTCCGATTCGAGTACGTGGCCAGTGACTCCCACGGAAAACAGTGATATGCCGTGGCTGCGAGCCTCATTTGCAGGTGCAAGCACGTTGTCCTGAGCCCGACCGTCCGTGATGACGATCGCAACTCGACTGATGCTTTTGTTGGACGGTCGTGAACCGTGTTCGCTACTGAAACCTTCTTTCACCATGTAGCTGATCGCG